ATCTCCCTATTCTAAAATTGTGGCCACTGACCAGGAGAAAACCTGGGGATTTTTTATAAAAGAAATCAAGAGCTTAATAAAATAGCAGAATGGAAAATTCTCTTAAACATAAATCAAGCTAGAATCAGGAATTAACAAGCTAGAAGTTTGATTTGAACAAGGTTCTCTTGACTGGCATGCTTCTTCCCCTCTCTCATTGCCTACCTGTCTTTTATCCTGTGTTCCTGGACTGTTGATGACTCCTAACAATTTACCAGGAACATAATTAACGAAGGTAAACCAGATTATTCCTTTTGATCAAGGTGTCCCAGATCTCCTGCAGCTCAGCAAACTCCTCATCTCCCATCCCCTATTTATATACTGTATGCTTTGAAACCCGTGAACTGCAAATGTTGAGCCTAGCAAGATGTCTGTCTATCTATGTTAACCACCCCCTTCAATCTGCAACAGTATATTTAACAGTAGGTAGATGGATTAGATACAGTATATACAGTAAGTGGGTATGGTTAAAGTTAAAGTTTGCAAATACAAAGGAAACAGGGAGTGCAGTTAACAAAATAAATAAAGCAAAATTTAAGGATAAATCTTAATGTACTGAGCCATTGTGGAAACTATAGTAAAAGTATTATATTTTACCATATATTTTTCGTATTACTATAAGCAAAAAAGCAGACTGTGTATGATGTCAGACAGAAAACTGCTACTGTTCATGCTACTATAGTTTATCCAGATAGCCCACTTCTTTTGAACGACAAACCTTTCCCCAAAAGTGTGAGAGTCAGAGAATTGAATGTACAGTGAAGTGACATGATTTTTAAATCCCCCCCATCCTGTCAGGCAGAATGTAACCCCTCCAGAAATCAATGTTTTCTAATTTGGGCTGTCTGGTTTAATTCAATATATTGATTAAAAACATAGCAGTCATCTATTTTCCATTAAATTCAAACATTTCAGTATTTATGCCTATTCACATGGATCATTTATTTAGAGACAGGAGAAACATGTTTTGTTAAAATAAAAAATGGAGATGATGTAAATCATTGTTTAAAGGGCCAGCATTTAAAGCAAAATATACTATTCAGCTTGAAACCTGGTGAGTGAATACCGATTTGTCCTTTCAAACAGTTTCCTATATATATATATTAATTTTGTCATTTAAAATGTATGACACATATAGCATCAATCTTGTCTATTATAATACATTAATTGTAAGATAAGATCTGTTGCTGTTTCAAGTAGTTTCAGTACATTTTTTTTCAATGATTAAATCATTGGAATCTGAAATTCAGAGTAAATCATTATCACATTTCGAACTTACCTCGGTAATTCAAATGTATTTGATGATCTAGTCTGAATATGGAGAATGCCTATTTTACAATGATGATTATTTACACTGTATTCATTTTTTGTAAAGGCATAACAAACAATAAAAATACAAATAGAGCAACTTACTGTATTTTAAACCATAGTTGTGGGAGTTATCACGGCTTATATTATGTTTTGTTTAAAAAGTGTTGCAAATCTAGCTATTGAAAAAAGTATAAAATGGGAAGAAACATGATTTAATTCAGGTTGTCAGAAGGCAGTTTACTGTTGATGGAAATTCTAAGTTGTGAATTGAACACAAGCCTAATTGAAAAAGCATTATATCTCCCAAAGCAATTAACTTTTTTATACATAAGTGTCCATCTTAAGTGATGCCTGTCAGAGTCAAACAAAGAACAAATTTGGAAATAAGAGGATTAACTCAAAGATTTAAAGAGAAAGTTTTAAGTAAAATGTTGTTAATACAAACCCTGCTTCTTAGTAAGAGTAATATTTGTTTTTGTAACCATCTATTGCAATAATCATGCAATCTTTTTCACCCCTGTTTCATCAAGGGTTTTGTTTTGTTTTGAGTAGATACTCAGTAGTTCAGTAGGTGTTCCTATAAACACATATCCTTAAGAATATATACTGTACTGATAGAAAAAAGAAACGCAACCCCTCCTCCTCCACACTCTGGCATTCCCATCTGCGTGGAACAGGCTGAAGAGTGACTCATCCGTGAAGAGGACCTGATGCCACTGCTGA